GTTCTTCACGTCGGTCCAGGATATTCCTGTCTTCTCGTTTCCCACTGTCTGACGCATAATCCAGTCACCACCACAATTAGGAATATCATTGGTGATAATAAGCACCCTTGTCTGACTCCTGTGTTTACTCCAAACGCCTCGCTGAGTCTTCCGTTGTGGATCACTTGACATGTGCCGTTGTCGTACAGCTGTTGAATAAGGTTGATGAATATTTGGGGTACGCCATAGTACTCGAGTAATTTCCAAATTACTTCACGGTCAACGCTGTCGAAGGCCTTCTCAAAGTCTATAAAGTTGAGGTAGAGGTTTGATTGCCATTCCATGCTTTGTTCGATGATGATGCGTAGAGTTGCAATTTGGTCAGTACATGATTTGCCTTTCCTGAATCCAGCTTGTTCTGGTCGGAGTTCTGTCTCCAGTGCGTCCTTTAATCTCTCCAGGATGATGCGACTCAGGATTTTACTTGGCGTCGATAGGAGCATGATTCCTCGCCAGTTCTTGCAGAGTGAGGCGTAAGTCGCCCTTCTTTGGTAGTTTCACGAGGTAACCTTTCCTCCAGTCAGTAGGCACCTTTCCCTCCTTCCAGACCTTTTGCAATAATGGAGTCAGCATGTCTGCTGTAGTCTCTGGGTCCGCTTTCAGTGCTTCAGGGGGTATTCCATCTGGTCCGGCTGCTTTTCCAGCTTTCAGAAGCTTGATTGCGTTCAAGACTTCAGCTCTCGTTGGAGGATTGGTGTCAACTTGCAGTTGTGTGCGCGCTGTTGTTGGTATTTCTGGACGGGTTGCAGGTGATGGTCGGTTCAAGAGTCCTTTGAAGTGATCCGCCCATTGTTTAATCTGTTTTTCTTCCTTGGTAATTGGGTTCCCTTGGCTGTCTTTTATAGGTTTCGCTTGTGTTGGTCTCTTCCCGGATAGAGATTTGGTTATCTGATATAGTGTCCTCAGGTCCCTTTTGCCTGCTGCCTTTTCAGCTTCAGTGGCAGGTTGTCGTAGAATCGTCTTTTGTCCTTCCTAGCACTTTTCTTCACTTCTTTGTCCAGTGCTTTGTAAGTTGAGCTCAGCGTCTCCTTCTCCTGTCCGTCCTTGCATTGAATCATTTTCTCTTTCACCATTCTCCTCTCTTCTATTAATTTCCAAGTGTCCGTTGAGAGCCATTCCTTGTCTTGTCTCTTCTTTCTTCCTAGAACCGTTGAACACGTTTCGTTGAGAATCGCCTTCAGAGACTTCCAATGTTCTTCCACGCATGATTCTTCAGTGATGTCGCGTAGTGTTTCCTGCTTTGCTCTGACAGTTGCAGTGAAGGTGTCTTTTGTGGTTGTGTCCTTCAGTAATTGAGTGTTGAACTTGCATTGTGGCCTATCCCCAGCTATCCTCGAGGCTTTTAGTTTCACCTTGAAAGTCCCTTGTACTAGATAGTGGTCTGAACCCACATCTGCTCCTCTCCTTGACCTTGTGTCCAGTAGGCTCCGTCTCCACTTTCTTGAAATTGAGATGAAGTCTATTTGGTTCTTGGTGTTTCCATCTGGTGAAATCCATGTCGTCTTGTGTATATCCTTGTGTTTGAACACACTACCACCAATCACCAAATCATTGAAGGCGCAGAAGTCTGAGAAGAGTTCACCATTGTCGTTCATTTCACCGAGGGCCTCACGACCCATGGTGAGTTCTCTTCCTGTGTTGTCTCCTCCCAGCTTCGCATTCATGTCGCCCATCAGGATTTTGATATCGCCATTTGGGACGTTGTCCATTATTGCTTGTAGTTGTCTGTAGAACGCCTCCTTCTTCTCTTGTTCTGAGACGTTTGTAGGCGCATAGCATTGAATGACTGTAACTTTCCTTCCTTTTGAGTTGAACCTGGCTGTCATTATCCTGGAGGAGATTGGTTCCCACTGCATGAGAGCTTTGGTTGCTGTTGGTGACATCATGATGGCCACTCCCTCGGTGTGCTCGTGGTTGTCCTCTGGGTGGCCGGAAAAGATTACTGTCTCTCCAGTAGGTAGTTGGCACCTTCCAGTTCCGTTCCATCTGCTTTCGCAGATTCCCAACACTTCTATTCTGTACCTTCTCATTTCAGCGGCTATCTGGGCAGCCTTTCCAGTTTCGTACATTGTACGAACATTCCAGGTACCCATCCTTACTTTTGCTTTCATCGAAAGAAGGCACATCGGCTGACTGGCTTCCCGAAGGCTTTCACCAGCCTGCGTCATTTCACTTCCCCGATTCCAGCGAAAAGTAAGGCTATTGCTTATGTTTTTAGAATTTTTAATATATTTATTCGTTGAAGTTTCTGTAGCGATTTGGTTGTTTTACAGGGGTGGAGTTGCTAGCACCACGCCCCAACCCTCCCTCTTTACCCGGGCTTGGGACCGGCGAGAAAACTAGTAAGCTAGTAGCCTAGCAAGCTAGTATCTGGCGAGGTTTTATGGTGAACACGTTTCATTAACAAACTACTTAGCTTTAATCAGTGCTCGCTTACCCCGTTGAAACAAAGATAAGTGAATAGTTCAACGGATTCTTTTTCATCACAATAGATTATTATTTTACAAGATCAGACATAAATTTCTGATCAAAAAAAACGAGAAGGAATCCATTTTTCAGGATTAAAAAAAAAACAAACAGCTCATATTGTATCTGGTAGCAGCCTAACCGAAGTGACCCAATTTGACTACTATTTAAATATGATGTTAGAACCCAGTTCATGGCAAACTTGGCTGATAGAATTCAGTCTGCACCAAAGATAGGACACTAGACACACTCAACTAGTTACTGACTAGTGTCCAATCTAAGTGTCCAATACAGACAGTCCTACAGGAGGTCAACAGAGAGCCAGCCCAGTGGTAACGTCTATGCTTGCAGCTCTCACTGGGTAACGTGGATTCAAATCTCAGAAGGGATGTTAGTACCTTCAAGGTTGTAGATATATACACCTTACTAACTGACTGATATAAGTACCAACTAGCAAGAAACCTAAGTTAGGCCAGGCTGCCTTAGGCCGATTGCTTCCAACCATCTAATACCAATAATTTAAAGTGCACCTTGATGGCGTCACCTAGTGGCATGGTAGTCACATTGTAAAACTTGACTGACTGATAGAATTCCATCTGCACCAAACAAAGGATCTGACACACTACACTAGTCACTAACTAATCTCCAGACAAAATGAAGGATATTTCTCAGATATCAGTCTATGAGCTGTGTAAGGATTGATGACAGTATTCAGTTGCAGATACAGCGAGGTTGGAGGCCGAGTGAAAGTCAGGTGGTTAGGACGATGAGCCATATATCACCCCATATACGATATGGTACGGTCTAGGATGGATAGACACTCTTATCTCCCTCCTAAAATGCTCTCATCTGGCCACGCCTTTATATCCTCTGCCAGGGAAGTCCTATTCATTCATACATTCACGTCATAAGCGGGTTCCTTACAAAAGTGATAAAGTGAATGAGAACGTCTTAAGCTTTACAACCAAACTGGTTTACTTAGGAGAGTTGTAAAACCATGATTGCCAACCTATGGTAGTGTACATCGGCTCCAGAATTCGAAAGGATTAGAATGGTGTATGTGAACCTGTTTTAGTCATCAAAAACTGTGGGAAAAAGCTTCTGATGTAGAAATTACTGCCTTGTGGAAGAGATTTCAAGTCAAAGTTTCGTAGTTGGGGGGAATGGCCCTTAAAGACAACCACTTGCTTCTGCCTGGATGTTTAGATAGTATCCAAGTTCTCGCAGAAGTTGGTTTTAGTAATAATAATAATGATCATAATCATAATAAGCGACATATCCACAGGTAAATTGTATTTTTTTTAACACTTCGCCTTCCCAGTGCAGCATAGGGCTTCAAGTTTTAGCTTAGAAGTTTCAGTAGCAGTGGCGGGGTTGCCAGGCTCACGCCCAACCTCCCCTCTTTGTCGGCATTGTAATCAGCTAATTGAGGTAAAGGTGTTCTCGCTGGCCGGGACTCGAACCCCGGACCATGTGCATCTTGGTCGGTCAGCAGTCTACCGTTGAACCACCGACGCACCGGTAAATTGTATACTATATAATAAATAAATAAATGAGGTTTAATGAAGCATTGTATATGAGACTTTGATCAAAAATAGCTATCCCGACAAATTTATCAAGAAACACATGACAAAGAAAGCGGCGGAAAAGAATTACTCACTGCCCGTAAACAAGAAGCCTTTATATATACGACTGCAATTCAAAGACGATATACCAAGTGAGATAGGTACGAGGAAATTAAGAAAATCAGTTCAAAGAACTTTTAATGCAGGAGAACTACACGTCATATTCTCTACACGACCGATGGTGCTACCTCAACTAAAAGATGAAGCACCTATACTAGCTGGCCACTTCAAATTGCATCTAACAATTCAACTGCGCTTGTGGTGGAGCGATTTATATCGGCCGTTGCTGTAGGAAATTGATTTTTCGTGCTTGCTCGAGAATATCTCCCACTATGGCTAAGTAAAGGTGTAGTGGAAACCATCATCAACAGTTCGATATTGGACCATCTGGTGCAAACCGGCACAATGTCAGCCAGAGTTGAAGAATCCTTCTTTATCATCTATCGGATACCAAATAAATTGCCAAAAACATCGAAACACCGCATGCTCCAAACAGCAGAGGTTATTTCAATTCGCATCAAACAACCAGTGCTCTGTGTTCAAAAGAAGCAAGTCCAGCTAGCGCCTACTACTGCCCTGGCCAGTTTTCAGTAGACTATAAATTCATGAATTTGTAGTATTATCCTTCCTAATTTTTCTGACATTCAGCTTATTTTTATGTTGATGCTATTGAGCTGTAATCTATCAATATTATTGATCCGATGTTATTTAACCAACATTAATGTTGTTCGTAACACTAAATCATTCATTCACTATAATGTATATATAACTGTAGAGCCTGATGATGAAGGGGTTATCGAAAAGAGTACTCTTTGTTCAGTATCCATATTTTTTGTAAATAAAGTAGAACCTGAAATCGATTGAACTTACAGGCCATTTAGTAACATCTGTTTCAGACCATGCAAATGCACCACTAGAACGTGGTCGAAGACAAAATGCTGGATCCAATCCACATACAGGTCCAGCACGACCAATCAAACGTGTTGGACGTAATGAATATATAATACTTGATAGATTATTATTATTATTCAATGGAATTATCATCTGTGTAAGAGGCATTATTTTGGAAATGTGTACGTTTTTCACGTTCTGAAATACTTGTAGACAGCTGCTTTGTATTATGCTGTATTATGCTAAAACTGTTACTGTTATTATTGTCATTGCCATTATCATCAGTTTCATAATGAAGCCATGTGGCAAGTGTACGTGAACAAACATCTCGATGTGTTTGATAACAACCACCGCCATCATTACGAATACAACAACCAGATCTTCAGAAAGGTAAAAAAAAGCAAAATGGAGAAAAAAAGGGATATATTTTAAGCCAACTTGATGACAAAAGTTAATAAATATTGAAGAATAAATGATATTTCTTTCATGGTGGCGGATCTTCGACCCATTTGAGACCGATCAGCTGTATATATCTACTTATACTGCTCAGCAGTCCGATCCGTCCTCCTTTATGGCTGGCTGTGAGACCTGTCCATTGAGAGTGGGAAACATGAAAAGTCTGTCAAGCTGTCTTCGATCATAGGTGCCTGTGTTCTATCTCCTGTGTTAGGTGGTAGGTGTAATAGAATGAGCAATATTGAGGTGAGGCATTGGTCAAGTGCTAGGTAAGGAGGGAGAAGAATTCAACAGAAAAGGCTGCGAAGCATCTGCATCGATTGAAATGGTTGGGACATGTGTTACGCATGCATCCCTAGCCTTCGCCTTCCTCAATGGCTAATGTTAGCTGACTGACATAAGGTCAGGTTGAAAAAGAGCTAGCGGCGGTCAAACCAAAACATGGCTTCACCAGTCAATGAAATCTACAACAGTTAGTCTAAGCCACGTAGGAAGGTGTAGACGTCCTGACTGGTTGGGCTCCTCGGGACGATAAAAACCAATGATTGGAGACAATTGGTGATATGCCTCGAAATCGTTGTCAATGACTGGTGCAGATGCATCCACTCCTTGTGACTTATGATTTCAAATGAAACTGTTTTGTTCTTCGTTATTACTATTCCTTTGTCTCACACCTCTGTTTACTGTTCTCTCTATTATGCATTTCTTCTACTTTCTTCTCTTGCTTGGTGTGCTACATGGGGTGAAATGTGGCGACTTGAACTGCTGCACATCGGTGCAAAGTTGTTCTATGTTGAAAACACACAGACGGACCCTTTAATGAGTGATGGTGTCCCCACTACCAACACTTTGGTTGGTAACATACGCCTAGTTTGAGTTGTATCAAACTTCAAGGGATTGTTTACTAGGCCTTTGAGCCACTAGAGAGAGAGAGAGCCACCTCTAGGGAAATTTGTATGATTTGTGTGGTTTGTTGTTGTTGTTGTTTTTGGAATGCATCGACCAGCCAGATGATGATGAGTCCTAAATGGGACGAAATGTAAGTTCTATATTCCACTGATAGTCACCATTATAGAAAAAAATCACTTAAACTTAGTAGTTAATCATAGTAATATCGAGGTATATGCTAAAGAGGTTGCTGCTGTTTATGCAGTAAAACGTTTAGAAAAAATCGTGTTTTGATTTTCTAAGCATGCTGGGATTATTTTCGTGTAATTTCATAGGGATTCAGTCTGACTCAGTGCTCAAATGTTTACTAACTTTGTTTCAATTATCCTCTCGACTCAATATATTCTCTTTTTGTATAATTCCGAAGTACAATGACTGTCCTTTTGTATGGCTGTGAGAACTGGTCATTGAAAGTAGAAGATCTGAGGAAGCTAATTTGTTTTCTATCCCCATGTTAATGTGGAATAATACAATGAATAACATTCAGGTTAAGCGTTGAATATCAGGCAAGAAGGGAAACGCAATCGATGAGGTTGTGAAGCTACATCGATTGAAATGGTTAGGATATGTGTTACGCAGGCGGAGTCACCACCTTCCTCATTGAATGATTTCAGCTGACATAAGATTAGGTGGAACAAGAGTTAGGCGACAATCCATAAAGTCTTTGACTGTTGGTTTGAGTGAGTTACATAAGGAGATGTAGACTGCTTGACTGGGGTTATCGATACCCTGAGAACCAATGACTTGAGAATATTGGTGATATGGCTAAAAATCGTTTTCTCAATCATGAAGATAGACTCACTTTTTATAGTATCTCATATCTATTAAGTCCCCGTATTTATCTATATAATAATTATTATTTCTTCTATACACTTCCTCTAACTTTGTGTGCTATACGGAGTGTGTGGTAACTTGCACTGCTGGCTTCTATGTTGAAACTTATAAAGGTTTCCTGATTTGTCTCTGATTATGCCGTGAAAACTTTTGAGTTGCTAATGATTTTGATTCATCTCAGCGTTGATTTCACGTCACGAAGTGATATCAGTTAGAGAGTCACTGAGACCCATAGAGTACTAGATGTTCGTTTCATCCCAGTTTGGGACTCTTCATGAGTACGCATGTACCACCCCAGAGTCAGGGATAAAATCCAGGACCTTCAGGTTACAAGGTGAGCTTGTTGACCATTTAGTCACTAGGATGGAATCTGACGGTCCATGAGTTTTGATCTACATCACTTCGCGATTTTTAGCGCAACCACCGGAAAACGTCATCGGTCAGTCGATCTCATGAACGTCACTGGTTACGGCTTCTCACTTGAACTCCAGGAAGCTTCCTCCGCCTATTCAGCACTGCATACACGCAACACCACCGCAAGTCGAGTCGACAACCTTCGGATTACCAACTCAATCCGTCGATTGTTCATTTACTACTGTCAATGATTTTCATGGATGAGCAACCAACAATGTAAACCTCGGCAGCCACGACCTCCTTTCAGGACTTCATGATATCTCTCATGGAGCCACGAATGAGCAGAATGTGATCCACGAACTGAAACTTAAATACAACAATTCGAGTGCTTTTGGAAGTGTGTGAATGGCTGTTAATGCCCACGCCATGGAAGTTGATTTTTCTTGAAGTACCCAGAACAGAAAGAGGGTTTGTGTTGCGTGACCGCAGAGCCCAGGGGACAACTGCTTGAGGCCGGCCACACACAGCCTGTATGAACTGGTTCTTTCTATTGGTTCCGTATTAGTAAATTTACCGCCTGTTACGGACCACCGTAGGGTAAATCGAGATGTACAATTTTTGGGGTCGACCTTTTCTAATCCCCTCTCTCTGGAGTGGAAAAACAGCATAGATGGCTGGTATGCTGGTCATCCAAGGGAAACACCTTATTGCTGTTACATCCCTGTTCCTCAGCAGTACGACTTCGCCCACAGACCCCCAGCATTATTATTTTTATTATTATTATTGCTCCCTTGGGTTCCTAGTGGAACATAGGGCTTCAACTGCACGTCTCCATTTGCTTCTGTCTTCTGCTGTACTTTTCGCCTGCATCCATGTTAATCCATATTCTTTCAACTCCTCTTCACACGATCTCCTCCATGTCACCCTTGCATTGACGTCCCACTCACCGCTTCCCTTTCGGGTTCCACTCGAGGGCTTGACGCGCGATGTCACCCAGCGGTCTCCTCAGCGAGTGTCCGATCCATCTCCACTTTCTCCTGCATATTTGTTGGGCGATTGGTTCTTGCTTTGTTTGTTCCCATAATTCCTTGTTGGTGATTCTTTCCGGCCATCTGATCTTCAGTATAGATAGCGAAGACAGTTGTTAATAAAGGTCTGCAACAGCTGTTGGAAATATTCTTTGTGACCCCCCGCCAAGTTTCTGATCCGTATAGAAGAACTGACTGACTTGACGTTTGTATTGAAAATCCGAATTTTGTTGTTGATGCTGTGAGTGACGAAGATTTCCAGATTGATTTCAGGTTGATGAATGTGTTTCTCGCCTTCCCGATTCTCGCTCGATTTGACATCCTCGTCCGTTCCTCCTGTAGTTGAGACAATGCTCCCTAGATAAGTGAGTGAATGAAGTAACCTCTTTCAAATCCCTCCCGTTGATGGTGATTGACGTTGGATGTTGTTGCTGTTGTTGGTTGGTTATTTTCATAACCTCCGTCTTGTCTATGTTTACCTGGAGTCCTGTCTTTGCTGCTTCTTCGACCAGTTTGTCGGTTTTCGCTTGTAAGTCTTCGATTGTGTGTGACATCAAACATAAATCATCCGCGAAATCCAGGTCTTCTAGGTTCTTCACGTCGGTCCAGGATATTCCTGTCTTCTCGTTTCCCACACTGTCTGACGCATAATCCAGTCAGTCCACCACAATTAGGAATATCATTGGTGATAATAAGCACCCTTGTCTGACTCCTGTGTTTACTCCAAACGCCTCGCTGAGTTTCCGTTGTGGATCACTTGACATGTGCCGTTGTCGTACAGCTGTTGAATAAGGTTGATGAATATTTGGGGTACGCCATAGTACTCGAGTAATTTCCAAATTACTTCACGGTCAACGCTGTCGAAGGCCTTCTCAAAGTCTATAAAGTTGAGGTAGAGGTTTGATTGCCATTCCATGCTTTGTTCTGTGATGATGATGCGTAGAGTTGCAATTTGGTCAGTACATGATTTGCCTTTCCTGAATCCAGCTTGTTCTGGTCGGAGTTCTGTCTCCAGTGCGTCCTTTAATCTCTCCAGGATGATGCGACTCAGGATTTTACTTGGCGTCGATAGGAGCATGATTCCTCGCCAGTTCTTGCAGAGTGAGGCTAAGTCGCCCTTCTTTGGTAGTTTCACGAGGTAACCTTTCCTCCAGTCAGTAGGCACCTTTCCCTCCTTCCAGACCTTTTGCAATAATGGAGTCAGCATGTCTGCTGTAGTCTCTGGGTCTGCTTTCAGTGCTTCAGGGGGTATTCCATCTGGTCCGGCTGCTTTTCCAGCTTTCAGAAGCTTGATTGCGTTCAAGACTTCAGCTCTCGTTGGAGGATTGGTGTCAACTTGCAGTTGTGTGCGCGCTGTTGTTGGTATTTCTGGACGGGTTGCAGGTGATGGTCGGTTCAAGAGTCCTTTGAAGTGATCCGCCCATTGTTTAATCTGTTTTTCTTCCTTGGTAATGGGTTCCCTTGGCTGTCTTTTATAGGTTTCGCTTGTGTTGGTCTCTTCCCGGATAGAGATTTGGTTATCTGATATAGTGTCCTCAGGTCCCTTTTGCCTGCTGCCTTTCAGCTTCAGTGGCAGGTTGTCGTAGAATCGTCTTTTGTCCTTCCTAGCACTTTCTTCACTTCTTTGTCCAGTGCTTGTAAGTTGAGCTCAGCGTCTCCTTCTCCTGTCCGTCCTTGCATTGAATCATTTTCTCTTTCACCATTCTCCTCTCTTCTATTAATTTCCAAGTGTCCGTTGAGAGCCATTCCTTGTCTTGTCTCTTCTTTCTTCCTAGAACCGTTGAACACGTTTCGTTGAGAATCGCCTTCAGAGACTTCCAATGTTCTTCCACGCATGATTCTTCAGTGATGTCGCGTAGTGTTTCCTGCTTTGCTCTGACAGTTGCAGTGAAGGTGTCTTTTGTGGTTGTGTCCTTCAGTAATTGAGTGTTGAACTTGCATTGTGGCCTATCCCCAGCTATCCTCGAGGCTTTTAGTTTCACCTTGAAAGTCCCTTCTACTAGATAGTGGTCTGAACCCACATCTGCTCCTCTCCTTGACCTTGTGTCCAGTAGGCTCCGTCTCCACTTTCTTGAAATTGAGATGAAGTCTATTTGGTTCTTGGTGTTTCCATCTGGTGAAATCCATGTCGTCTTGTGTATATCCTTGTGTTTGAACACACTACCGCCAATCACCAAATCATTGAAGGCGCAGAAGTCTGAGAAGAGTTCACCATTGTCGTTCATTTCACCGAGGGCCTCACGACCCATGGTGAGTTCTCTTCCTGTGTTGTCTCCTCCCAGCTTCGCATTCATGTCGCCCATCAGGATTTTGATATCGCCATTTGGGACGTTGTCCATTATTGCTTGTAGTTGTCTGTAGAACGCCTCCTTCTTCTCTTGTTCTGAGACGTTTGTAGGCGCATAGCATTGAATGACTGTAACTTTCCTTCCTTTTGAGTTGAACCTGGCTGTCATTATCCTGGAGGAGATTGGTTCCCACTGCATGAGAGCTTTGGTTGCTGTTGGTGACATCATGATGGCCACTCCCTCGGTGTGCTCATGGTTGTCCTCTGGGTGGCCGGAAAAGATTACTGTCTCTCCAGTAGGTAGTTGGCACCTTCCAGTTCCGTTCCATCTGCTTTCGCAGATTCCCAACACTTCTATTCTGTACCTTCTCATTTCAGCGGCTATCTGGGCAGCCTTTCCAGTTTCGTACATTGTACGAACATTCCAGGTACCCATCCTTACTTTTGCTTTCATCGAAAGAAGGCACATCGGCTGACTGGCTTCCCGAAGGCTTTCACCAGCCTGCGTCATTTCACTTCCCCGATTCCAGCGAAAAGTAAGGCTATTGCTTATGTTTTTAGAATTTTTAATATATTTATTCGTTGAAGTTTCTGTAGCGATTTGGTTGTTTTACAGGGGTGGAGTTGCTAGCACCACGCCCCAACCCTCCCTCTTTACCCGGGCTTGGGACCGGCGAGAAAACTCGTAAGCTAGTATCTGGCGAGGTTGACCCCCAGCATAGTTTACAAAAATTCTTACACTATTCCGGTAACTGCTTTTAGTCTGATCGCCATCCTAACAACCTTCTTGACATGGTAGGACCTGCAGAAACAATAGTTCCAGCCAGTGTAGCTTGTTGAGGGTCATTGTGATATGAATGGGCGACCACTACGTCAAGGTAGCAGCTATCAATCGGAATACAGCAATCAATATTTACTTATAACTTATAAGCGAATAGCTGTTAGGGAGTTGAACTTCCCCAGAGTACTCAACTTATCCTACCTCAAATCATTCTATTACTAAATATTATCTAATGCGACTATGCAACTAAATTAGTGCTCATGAAGTGGACCGTGGGATGAACTTATTCCACAAAATGGCTAGTGAGATAACCACCTTGCAAGCTAAACCTCAGAGTAAGAGGGGAACAAAAATTTGAACGAACAGTATGTGATCCAAGATGCAGAAAAAACGATCATCTCAAACTCATAAAAACACTTAATAAATACATACATAGATCAACTCTAAGCGGAACTCACGCACGATCAAATTTCTTTTGACGTTCAATCACCCGTGAATGCAGCGCTGGATCGAATCGCATACACGGCGGGAATCTTGCACCTAGCCGAATCAAATCTGTCTGCCTTGGTCCTATCCATAAATTTTCATATTCTATCCAACAGACTTGATCAACAGTTAACGTGGGCAATAACACCTTGCCAACTATGCGTGTGGCAATGCCTAACCCAATCGGTGCAAATCCATAACCGATTGAACCAGCCACAAATATAAATATGTGTACAAAAGTTATCCAATAGGTGAAATAAGGTCTGAAGCAATTCGAAAAAAACATATAAAATTATTTAATTAAATGCAAGTGCCTCCAACTGACGACTCCCAAATAGGACGAAATGCGCATCGTGGATTCCACTGTTACTCACTATCCACCGATTAAATTCAAAACGCATAAAACTGTTTCGATTTCGCCGTGGACAGACATCACTTAGAGAATTATTGAGAACCAGAGGAGCACTGGTCTAGGCTCTCAGTGTCTAATCAATGAGTCATGGGTCCGAGGCGCGGCTTCACCTGCCGAGATTCGGGCAACGAGGAAGGGGCAACAAGTGAGGTTTATCGCCAGTTGTTGAGTAGCATGTTTCTTTCTTCTGATTACTGAGAATCCAAGACTCTATATCAGGGATTGCTCACGCCATTATTGCGCAAAAGATTTCGAAGGAAAGAAAAGTGCCTACCGATCGGAATAAAGGCTGGCTGCTTTGTCGAACTACCGAAAGAGGGCGACTGAGGCCTCTGCAAGAACTGGCGTGAAATCATGCTCGTATCCACGCCAGGTGAGATAGTGGGATGCACTACATGCGGAATTCCGCTACCAGTAGGAACAAGCTGGATTAAAGAAGGGCGAATCATGGGCTGATCAAATTGCAGCTCTACGCATCGTCATCGAACAAAGCATAGAATGGAAGTCAAACCTGTACCTTAACTATATCGACTTCGAAAAAGCCTTAAACGGAGAGCGTTGACCGAGAGGTAATTTAGAAACTGCTTCAACACGGCGGCATGCACCGCGCAAGTCTTTATCAACCTCATTCAATGGCTGGCTATATGACAATGCCACGTGTCACGTGATCCACAATGGAAAACGCAGTGGGGAGTTCGAAGTAAATACAAGACTAAGACAAGTCTGGTTGCCCAATATCACTGATGATATTCCTAAATGCGGTGGACTGGATTGTGAATCAGACTATACTTAGGAGTGAGAAGACTGAAATACGCTGAACAACCACCAATGAGAAAACTCTAGAAGATCTGGATTTCACGCAGAGATCATTTATGCCTAATGTCACACAAACTCAAAAACTTGGAGGCGAAAAACCAACAAAATGGCTGAAGAAACTGGCAGGCAGAGACCAGGACTCCAGGTGAACATGGAAAAGACGGGGATGATGAAGGTAACGAACCAACCAAGCACTAACAGCAACAACAACCAGCACTAATCACCACCAACGGGAGAGATTTAACAGAGGTTACTTGCATCACTTATCTAGGAAGCATCGTTTTCTTGAAATACTTTAAAATGCTAAAAATTACTTTTTAAACAAATCTTTGCCACTCTAATTCAAATTAAACAAGAAAATAATGAATATAGGAGTTTCACGCATCGACGAAAAAGTAACACTACGGATCACCATGGAACAGAGCTTAGAATGACAGTCAGCCCTCCACCTCACTCAACTTCATTGCCTTTGAAAAGGCCTTCGACGGACAGTGTCGATCGAGAGGTGATTTGGAAACTACTTCGCTACTACCGGGTCCCACCAACAATTACACACCTTATCCAACAGTTGTACGACAATGCTGCATGCCAAGTAATCCACACACAAAAAGGAAACTCATGGAATCCTTCGAAGTGAAGATGGGAGTAAAACAAGCTGGCTGCCTACTATCTCCAATGATTTTTCTGATTGCAGTAGACTGGAAAATGTGACAGATACACAGCGAGCAGCGAGGAGACAGGCATAAAATGGACCCACACAAAATACTTGCAGGATTTGGATTTAGTCAATGACATATCCATGTCTGATTTCCCACAAGCTGGAGGATATGAGAGTGAAAAGCAGCAAATTGGCAGAAGGAGCATCAAAGATAGGACTTCAGGTGAACATAAAGAAAACAAAGGTGATGAAGATTCCTGAGCAACACCAACAGCAACAACAAACAACAATCAGCATAAATAGGAGGAACGTGAAAGAAACAACCTCTTTTACCTACCTGGGAAGCATCGTGTCAACTAGAGGCGGACGGAACTCATCAGAATATCAAAGCGAGAATCGGGAAATCAAGGCAGGTAAGGTTTTATTACTCTCAAATCTGTGTGGAGATCAACAGCACTCAGCATGAAATATAAGATCCGGATTTTCAACTCCAATATGAAGTCAGTGGTATTTACTATACGGATCAGAGATTTGGCGCAGCGTCACGAATGGCACTTCGAAGAAAACACACACCTTCATCAACAGCTGTCTCCGCTCAATACTCCGCTCAAAATCAGATGGCCGGCCAGAAAAGATCAGCAACAGGGATCTCTGGCAATGAACGAACCAACCCAGCAGGAACAAATATGCAGGAAGAAATGGAGTTAGGTGAATTGGCCATACTCTGAGGAGAAAAAAACACCATCAAGTGAGTGATAACACACGCTAGGCCACTGCTCGAGTGAAACCCGAACGGGAAACGACAAGTTGGTCGTCATTGCGAGGGTGATATGGAGGAGGTCACGCGATGAGGCGATGAAAGCATGTGGGTGGTGAAAACGTTGGCGGAGAAACGAAAGCGATGAAGACGTGAAGCTAAAGCCCTCTAGGAACTAAAGGAGACAATAATAATATATAATAAGACAATTTTATACTGCGTCGGTGGCATAACAGTTAGGACGCTAGCCGACCATGCAAATGGTCTGGGGTTCGATCCCTGACCATCGACGCACTCCATTACCTCGCTAAACCAGAAACAATGCTGGTAAAGAGGGAAGGTTGGGCACGAGGCTAGCAACACCATTCTGTAAAAACAAACACTGCTACAGAAACTTCAAGCCTCTAGCTTGAAGCCCTATGTTCCATTCAGAATGTGAAGGAAAAATTATTATTGAATTGAATTTTTGATTTTCCCGTCGATTGATTGGACCGAAGTGCTCGGTTCAATATTCAATTCAATAATTAATATGACCCGTTGCACAAGAGGTGGCTCTCGTGGCCCAAGTGGTCTAGTGGATAACGCTTTGGCGTTTGAAACTATGGCCACTGGGTTCGAGCCTCGGTGGGAACATCATCACTACTCACTGAGAAATGTAGGTACATCCAGCTGACGAGTCCCAAATAGGACGAAATGCGCATCCTGGATTCCACTGCTAGCCACCATCCACCAATTGTATAAAAATTATTATTATTCATTAAGACAATTTCATAAAGAAGGCCAGTGTAACAACTCACACACCCACACACACAGACACACACAAACCATCAGGAAAATAACCCACCCACTCGCCCACTCACCTATACTCTGTATAATCAGTTGTTTTATTACGGAAAATATCTTCAGTGAAATCATCTTTGCGGGGAATAAATATTGATGATGCCCAATAGGTTGGTGTTAACAGGCTTTCAGTTAAACGTCTTGTACGCGAAGGTATAACCACAGGGCTTGGTCGAATATTTGTTGATGACAATGTGACACAAGGTCGTGAACGTCGCTTCTCACCAATCACTTCTCGTACTAAATATTTTTTTTGTAAACAAAAGCCCAAAATAAATAATGAGTAAGTTGTCTAAGGGTGAAATATTTTTCAAAACTCTATCTGAGAAACGACAGACAGATTGGATTGAAAACTCTTTATGGTAACTAACTGCCATATCTCAGGTATGCTTAGCAATTGAAGGTGTACAAACTTAAGGAATTGAGGTGACACCTTGTGAAGGCTTAATTTTTATCAATCTTGTGCTCCATACTCAATAGGTTTAGCAATATGAAACTTCTGGTTGGCTTTACGACTCTTTACCACCTAACCACGTTTGACAATGTTCAATGGGTGGGCTTACCAAGTCGTTCAACTTATGTAAATGTCTACATAAGAGTAGTTAAATTTGTAAATGCACATTGAAGTGGACAGACTCGGTAGCTTATCCTTCACCGGCTTTGGAATCATGCAATGAGTAGTGAGTTTCAATTATAGTGTTATTGAGGTGAAAAATGTTTAGGCTATAATTTTGCGTAGTTTTGATGTCAATAATTCATTGGCTATGTCTCTTTTGAATAGTGAAGTCATAACTACGGCGTCGGTGGAACAGCGGTTAGGGACTGTCGCCGACCATGCACATGGTCCGAGGTTCGATCTCCTGCTAACGCACACCCGATATCAATGGTCGGCCTGCAAAATTTGGGCTACCGATATCGCATGCTGAAAATTCCATACTTGTACCAAAAATACGGTGTGGAATCAAGCTGTAATCAAAAAATAAAAAAAATAAATAAAAATAATTTCATTCTCTCTCTCGCTCTGTCAGTTCTCGTCGTGAAGACTCTTAGTAATTTTTTTGGATATCCGTTCTCCTACAATATGTTTTCTATTTTCATTGTGAAAAGTGTAGGTTGTGCAGATTTTTTTTAGTACGAAACATCAACAAAGAACAATATAGTTTCATTGGAAATCGTAAGTCACAGGGAGTGAATGCATCTGCACCAGCCAATGCCAACAATTTTGAGCCGTATCACCGATTACCCGTAACCATTGGTTTTTACCGTCCTGAGGACCCTAACCAGGAAGTCTACATCTTCCCAGATGGCTGGCTTAAACTAACTGTTGTGGATTTTATTGACTGGTCCCATGTTTTGGTTTGACCACCATCAGCTCTTTCCCATCCTGACCCTGTGTCAGCTAACATTGCTTGTTGTTGAGGAAGGCGATTGATAGCTAGGCATGCGTAACACATGTCCTAACCATTTTAGTCTATGTAGCTTCACAGCCTCATTTATGGACTTCCCCTCTCACCTACCTAGAACTCGACGCCTGTCTGTTTCCGACATAGAACTTTGCACAAATGTGCGGAAGTTCAAGTCGCCACATTCCGTGTAGCACGCGAAGCAAGAGAAGAAAGTACAAGAAAAGCATAATAGAAACAGTGAGCAGAGATGTGAGACAAAGGAGTAATAAAGAAAAACAAAACAGTTTCACTGGAGATCATAAGCCACAAGGAGTGGATGCATCTGCGCTAGTCACTGAGAACGATTTTGAGCCATGTCACCAATTGTTTCCAACCATAGATTTTTACCGTCCCGAGGACCCCAGCCTGGAAGTCTACACCTTTCTACGTGGCTTAGACCAACTGTTGTAGATTTCATTGACTGGTGAAGCCATGTTTTTGTTTGACCGCCGCTAGCTTTTTTCCAGCCTGACCCTATATCCGCTAACATTGCTCGTCGAGGGAGGCGATGGCTTGGCATACGTAACACATGTCCTAACCATCTCAGTCTTTGTAACTTCACGACTTCGTCGATTGATTTCCCCTGTTTACCTAGAACTCTACGCCTAACCTCCATGTTGCTCACCTTATTATGCCACTTTACACGGGAAATAGAACGCAGGCACCTATGATCAAACACAGCTAGTCTTTTCATGTCTTCCACTCTCAGTGGCCAGGTCTCACAGCTGGCCATAAAGGAGGACGGGCGGACTGATGAGCAGTACACCCGCCCTTTGGTCGATAGTCGAAAATCTCGTCTACGCCAGAGTCGGCGTAAACTGGCAAATGCGAAACGAGCCCCTTGTATTCGTGCTGAGATTTCGTCAGAGATCAGCCCGTTGGGGCTGATGGTACTTCCCAAATAAGTGAACGTGCGGTCAACGTGCTCTACCACTTCACTTCCTATTTTTAAACTAGGCGTCGATGTAGTCCAGTCCTGTAACATCATCTTGCATTTGGCGGGAGCGAATCGCATGCCAAACATTCGTAGATTGCGGCTCAAGGTGTTTAGAAGACTCTGCATTTCGTCAGCGTCTTCGCCTAGAAGGACTATATCGTCTGCGTATTCCAAGTCAACGAGATTATTCCCCGGTAGCAAGTCAATCCCTGAATCGCTGAAGTCACATAGGGTTAAGTCCATTAACACATTAACGCCTAACCTCAATGTTGCTCACACTATTATACCACTTCACATGGAGGATAGAACGCAGACACCTATGACTAAAGACACCTAGTCTTTTTATGTCCTCTACTCTCAATGACCAGGTCTCACAGCCATAAAGAAGGACACAATGGACTGTCGAGCAGTACACACGCCCTTTGGTCGACAACCAGTAGGATATCATGTCTATGCCAAAGATGGCGTAAACTGGGATATGCGAGAGTAGCCTTCTTTATCTGTGCTGAGATTTCGTCAGCTATCAACACGTTGGAACTGGCTGATGCAACTTCCCAAATAAGTGAAGTGGTCAACACGCTTTACCAACTACTTCACTCCCTATTTCTAAGTTAGGAGTGGAGACAATAGGTGACATGGCTCAAAGTGATCGTTGTCAATGACCAGCGCAGATGTATTCAGTCTCTGTAATCTTTCATATTCCTTTCTACCATTATCCATTCTGTTTGACTCTTATACTTGTCAGACTGTATTGATTCTCTTCACTCATCTTCTTGTCTACTTTTGTGTGCTATTTGGAACGTGGCAACTCGAACTGGTGCACTTCGGTGCCAATGTAACAACAGAAGACAAGGGCCAGGCAACAGATCGTTTTATTATGAAAATCAACACGTATTTATACATATTTCAACTACATTATTATAGACAAGCGCAGTCATCTGATTGGTTGTTTAGGTAGACAAACGCAGGCTTCTGATTGGTTGTTTCGGGATTCCTTGACAAATAGAGTTCTCTATCTGCGAATCATATTTTGCCACGTTAACTTTGCTGTGATTGGTTGTTGACTCAGCCTTGTTCATATCTTCTCACGGCCCACATTAGTGACCTAGACCTTAACGTAGATTAGTGCCAACCAATCGGCTAGCAGCCTGCTCTCACCACACTCGTCCCCCCGTCAAATACGTGCGACTGAAGTCGGCTTGATCTACTTGGTGCAGGCGTCATCGTTGGCTTGTCTCGCTGTATCCATTTCTGGAGCTCGCTGACGTTCACGTGCCTCTTATTGTTCGCCATTGCGACTGTGCCTGCGTAACCCCATCTCGAAGTGACCATATATGGTCCTTCCCACTTTGGAAACTGTTTGCCTGACCCTGTCGAACATTCGTCCATACTTCGGCTCACACTTTCATATGCTGCTTTCACCCGACCTCCCAGCAGCGTCCCAAGTAGCAGCTCCATCGCTGACAGATCTTGAGCGCCACTCAACTGCGCAGAAGCCTTGAAGTCCTGCCCGAAGATCCATATGTCTCCATCGAAAACAGCAGGGCATAGGCTTTCCATTTGTCGGTAGGCAGCGACACCAAATGTAACAACAGAAGACAAGGGCCAGGCAACAGATCGTTTTATTATGAAAATCAACACGTATTTATACATATTTCAACTACATTATTATAGACAAGCGCAGTCATCTGATTGGTTGTTTAGGTAGACAAACGCAGGCTTCTGATTGGTTGTTTCGGGATTCCTTGACAAATAGAGTTCTCTATCTGCGAATCATATTTTGCCACGTTAACTTTGCTGTGATTGGTTGTTGACTCAGCCTTGTTCATATCTTCTCACGGCCCACATTAGTGACCTAGACCGTAACGTAGATCAGTGCCAACCAATCGGCTAGCAGCCTGCTCTCACCACACCAAGTTCTATGTTGAATCCAGACAGACAGACAGACAGAAGTTAGGAGTGGGTTCAGTGTAGTCCAGTCCTGTAACATCATCCTTAAAAGACGAATTTCATAGTCTGTGAAAAGTAAACACTCGCTGAAGCATTATTAAGAATAGTGTCTTCCGGTCGATGGAAGTTTTATCCAAAAGTGTAAGACCGCTATCTTGCATGAGTACCAAGAGGTAGAAGTGGAGCAGTAAAAAGCATGACTATTGAACACCTGATCGATATTGGTCATCTTATCTCTACAACATATTCCTTTAAAGTTATCCACCTGCTAAAAATCATCACTTATCCAACTCATCTGTATTGCTGGAGCTTTGACCCTCGGAAGACAGGTTTGTTCAACCTGTACTCTTTTTTCATGGTTCCAATCTGTTAGTGTTAAGCTATACTGTAGTCCCTATTACTACCTTGACCATTTATAAATTACGTTACCTATTTTATCGTTTGATGTTTAACTCTGGAAGTGACTCATAGTCATAAGAATGAGAAAAATGAGGTTAATCACAAAAAGTAGAAGGGAAAATTCTGTCTAAGTGAATTTTTTTATTTCTCGGTGATTTTTTGTATCGGACCGAAATGTTCAATCACTATTGACACGTCAACTCTTAGAACGGACGCTTCGAAGATTTCTGATGGTTAAATTATGATGCCATTTTGTCGCTGAGGACTAGTAGCGGAATCCAGGATGCACATTTCGTCTTTATTGGGACTCGTCAGCTAGATTTATCTTCATCCACCCCTTCTTCCCCACCCTCAAGTGAGTGATAGCGTTCCTACTGAAACCGAAAACCGAGAGCCAGCCATTTTAAACCTCAAAGCGTTATCCACTAAACCCGTTGCACAAGAGGCAAGCCAAGTAGCTTAGTGGATAACCCTTCAGCGTTTAAAACGGTTGGCCCTTGGTTCGAGTCTCAGAGAGAACACCACCATTCACTGGTGATTGCAGACACATCTTACTAACGTGTCCAAAATAGGTTGAAATGCGCATCCTGTATTCCACTGCTTACCGTCACCATCCACCAGGAAATAAAAGTCTTCAATTATGTGGATATTTGTAGGTTACGTCCCCAGTGAATTCTGGAAATGCGACTCATTGGTTTAAGCATCCGAGGGATTTTGTGTAGAGAACGTTCAGTCGCGCATCACAGTAAAAGCTTCAGAAATGTATCACCTAACTTGAAGAATTTGACACTGTCAAAGTTACAAGCAACTGATTTATGAATTACCCCATAACTATTACAAGAACCTCAACTGACTCTGGAAGTAAGCTTGTGGTGAGAGCTAGCGGCGAACAAGTTGAAATTGTAGACAACAATTGACATCAATGTACACGTCCCGAATCAGGATGATGAGAAAAAACAATAACAAAGCTTAACCTTGAGAAAATCACCAGCCAATCACGGCAGAGTTTAAGTGTGGAAATATAATTCGCAGATATGTGGCTTGGTTTTCTGAGAAACGGCCACAAAGAGGTAACAAAATAACCTCCAACAAGAAAACAAATAAATCAGAAGAGGTTGCTTTTCTGCTAACAATAACGCTAATAACTCTTGATTTTCTCAATAAACGATCTGTTGCCTGACCCTTGTCTTCTATCTAATTGGTGGATGGTGACTAGCAGTGGAATCGAGGATGCGTATTTCGTCCTATTTGAGACCCATCGTCTGGATGTACCTGCATTTACCACCGAGGCTCGAACTCAGTGGCCATAGTTTCAAACGCCAAAGCGTTAGCCACTAAACCACTTGGGCCACGAGAGCTGGCCACCTCTTGTGCGACGGGTCATATTAATTAATTATTTAATTGAATTTTAGATTTTCCCGTCGACATATTGGACCGAAATGCTCCTCATTCTCAGGTAGACATGTTGGCTTTATGTGTAGATGCTTCGACGACGATGTCTGGGCATTTAATCAGAATTTAATTTGTGGATGGTGACTAGCAGTGTTGGAATCCCGGATGCGAAGCACAAGAGGTGGCTCTCGTGGCCCAAGTGGTCTAGTGGATAACGTTTTGGCCTTTTTAAACTATGGGGACTGGGTTCGAGCCTCGGTATCTTTTGTCGTTACGAGCTTACCTAGTACAAGCTCTCCTACATAAATCACCAACACTTCAACACAGAATTTAACAAAGAAATATAGACTTGAGGAAATAATGCTGGGAGTACAGCTATGCCTGACTTCCACAGTATTTAAATTCCAAGGGAAAATATACAAACAAACTGAGGGAGTTACCATGGGGTCAACAATATCCCCGGTTGTAACAGATATGTTCATGGATAGGTGGGAAAGCATAGCGATTGAAACGTTCATCCCCACCCCAAAGGTATGGTGGAGGTACGTAGGTGACACATTCACTGTACCTAGAACACAAGATATAGATAGATTTTTCGAACACATCAACTCGAGCGTAGAGGTAATTCATCAATTCACTTATGAATTGGAAAGTCAGAAAGGGGAGCTTTCAATTTTAGATAGCAGCGTAAAAAGGAAAGAAGATAGGAAGTTAGGCACACTAGTGTTTACAGGAAACCCACATATTCAAACAGGTATTTGGACTTCCGATCCTCCCATCCTATGTCAGTAAAAACAGGATTGGTGAAATGTTTAAGCGACAGAGCACAAAAACTAATTAGTACCAAGGAAAATCTAAGACAGGAAGTGATACACATAAAAGAAGCCTTGAAACTTAATAATTACCCGGATAAATTAGTCAGGAAATATGTAAGGAAATGTAAAAATAAGATAAGTAATGATAGTAGTGATAGTGATAATAATAGTAATGATATCAATAATAGTGATAATGATAGTAATAATAATAATGATAATAATAATAATAATGACCACACCAACAATAAAGAATCTAAATCATCAGTAGTAATCCCATACAAGCAAGGAACCTCGAAAACCTTAGGCAGAATTCTTAACAAGGCAGGAATAAAAGTGGCTGGAATTCAAATCAACCACAAACTCAATTAGAAACAAGTTTTGTCGGTTAAAGGATTAATCCTGTAAAGCCTTTAAAACAAAGCAATTTAGTTTATCTAATACCCTACGTGCGATGATTGTCAGGTCAAATACATAGGTCAAACTAGTAGAACAGGGGCAGTCAGACTAGCTGAACATAAAAACCTAGCAAATTCTAGATTGATTGACCCGAGTAAGATAAGAAATCTAGAGAATAGTCCAGCTATAGCACTCACTACATGCAATTACACACAACCATACAATAGGCTGGATGGGATAGGATGACAGTTTCAAAATTTAATGTAACAGCAGGGTGGAGGGAGAGATTGATAACAGAAGCTTCGTTTATCGAATCAACTGCAAATACATGTAATAGGAATGATTCAACACCTGTCCACCCAGATATCTGGAAAATTCTACTACCTCCAACGACGACAAATAGGAGATGACAAAGAAAACTATAAAACTCAAGTTTCGAAGTCGTGTGATTACAATTAGTGAAATGATTATGAACAATGATAAATTTTGTTCGAAACATCATCCAGTATGTATTAATACTGTTTCTTCGCTGTGTGATACATCTGATAAGCAAACTAATATGAAATTACTTACTACCATGGTCCCAAAGTTTTGCATATATATGAAATATAAACTTACAAGCAAAACTATTCGAATGTTGAAAAGATGTTAGTGGATCTGTTAGGTCGGATACCAATGGACTTTGAGGAATAAAACGATTGTCATCATCATCCTCATCACCATCATCGTCATCGCCAACAGTTCTAACGCCAACATCCCTAACCAATGCTTCATAATCCGGTGGTTTTTGTTCAACTAAATTATCCAATCCCATGAGAATATTACGCTGGTTAACATTACCATTATTACTGGTATCAGGAATAGAATCAATAGGAGACAATGCTGTATCACCACCGACCCCGTCACCACCAGCAGCACCAAGAAATGGTGTCTCTTCGTCTTTCGTATCTTTTAAAGCTATCCACTTATCACTACTTAATTGATTATCAGTAGTAGGAGTACTGATAGTAGTGTCTAGTGCAGCAATTGGTCGACCTGTTGGCGCGGAATAAAAACGATTCAATCCACTATTGGCCACCTACGCGAAGATTTTAAAAAAATAAAATGATTATCTACCGATAATAAATTAGTTTGACTGTCAATCCCCTCTGAAAGTTATTAAACGGTATATGGGAAGGTCAAACAAACGGCCAACGACAGTGGCCTGTTTAAAATGTTACCTTTAATGGGATTAAGAACACAATATTCGGCAAAGAGACTCTTTCCAACAACGAATTTATTATCAAGCTGTATAATCGTATATATATGGTTTTTGATGTATATCCATATAATATGTGTGTTTGTTTGACAGTCTCATATATTTTGCTATGTATATATGGATCGATATTCCATTATAATTAGCCAATCATGTTAAGACTGTCTATTGATTTGTTCATTTTGAATATTCGCTCACACACTTGTTCGGACATTCATATATATTTTACTCTCACACACTTGTGTGATATTGCTTCTCCTTGTGTTTGGAAAATAGAAGTATCATCGCAAACCTAGTGGTCTTCTAATTTCCGTCTTTCTTGCGTCAGGACTATTAAATTCTCGACCAGTACATAACAGTTTTATTTTAAGAAATTATATGCGGTGAGGGAATTAGGTCAAAGGTGTGAATACATGAAATAATAATAGGATAAAATGTAATTAAAAATTAAAATGCTTGTGATTATAATCATGGTTTAATGTTTCCACACGGATATGAGAACGTATTCCAGGTTGGTTTTACAAGGGAGAAAGGAAGTGTGTGTGAAGCTCTATTCTGGAACACTTGATCGACTTCTGTCACTCGGTCAACCCTGACCACGATTTCAAGATCATAAATAGAATCCACAATGCTCAAACTTTTTACTGATATAGAATCCATGCTAACTTGCTGGCCGCGTTTTCTTCGTTACAGACTTCTAAAGACAGCTGAGGCCTTGGCAATTTATGACTTTAAGCCAACCAGACCTTTGTGTACGAAAGAAGTATTTACAATCCCTACTTCTGCCTTGGCCGTAGAGGGATAGACATTTATTTATTTTGTTTACTTAATTATCTTACGTACCTTTCCCTTATTACTACAATTATTACTATTATTATTATTACTATTCTCACTCTGAATCTTTTCCACTTGACCCACTTGTCATTTTAAACCCAAAATTATTAATTTTTTCAATTTTTACAATATTGAATTCTGTCTTATCAAATTTCCCACAATGTTATGTAACATTTTATATTCGTCTACTAATCTTATAATTATGTATGCCTTTCTAAAATCTATACACCTTATGTATTATTCTACGTTTTTATCCTTCACGTTCCCAGTGGAACATACGGCTTAAAGCTAGTGGCTTGAAGTTTCTGTAGCATGGTTTAGTTCTTTTCTCTTTACAGGATGGGGTTGCTAGTCTCATGCCAAACCTTTCCTCTTTACCAGCTTTATTTCTGCCCCAGCGAGGTAAGGGAGTGCGTCAGTGGCCGGGGATCGAACCCCGGGCTATGTGCATGATCGGCGAGCGTCCTAACCGTCGTGCCACAGACGCACATTATTATCCTATACCTGAAATTAATTATTTTGCCACTTGACACTAAACCTTGATTATAAACACAAATATTTTAACTGCATTTCATACTACTATTAGTATTTCATGTATTCACACCTTTGATCTAATTCCCCCACCAGACATAATTTCTTTATAAAACCATATATATATATATATATATATATATATACCATTGTACAGCTTGATAATAAATTCGTTGTTGGAAAGAGTCTCTTTGCTGAATATGGTGTTCTTAATGCTACAACGGGAATTAATAAATTATTTAATGGGGTTCTCCACTCTTAAAGTGTTTACAACCCGCTGAGTCATAATTTTCTACTAAACTTCAGAAAAAGCATATTCATAGGGGCGGGATCAAGGTAGAATCGTGTCCCAATACATGAGATAACTGTTCCTAAGCCCCCGAGTGTGGTGAGAGCTGGCTGCTAACCAGAGTTAGTAGACAGTAATTTACGTCAATGTTTATGTCCCCAATATTGGTCGTGAGAAAAATGAGAACAAAGATTTTTGCGCAGGCGGATACAGTTAACATATACATGATCTGACATTCAAGAAACAGCCACAATGAGAGATTAAAGATTAACTTTCAGTGAGAAACAACCACCAATCAGAAGACTGTGTTTTTCAGCTAACAATAACCTATAATATGTACACGAAAATATATAAATACGTGTTGATTTCCTTAATAAACGATCTGTTGACTGGTCCTTGTCTTCTGCTGTTACACTAGTACAAACTGCTACTGCCTGGGGAATAAAACTAACTACCTGAGGAATACAATTATTATTTAGTTATATCCTTGGGGTCTAAAAATGTCTGTGGACCATTCAGCCACTGAGACGGAATCCAATCTCCATAGAATCCTAACCTCTGCCAGCTCATAGTTTACACCTCCACCACTAGCCAATATCATCAGCGAGTATTTCTCTTGACAATTAACGTGGTGGACCCCCCTGGTCACCACTCCTCATTAGAACATTATGTAACTTCCATCTTAGATATTACAGTTTTTTGGTGTGGTTAACAGGTACGTCAGCTGTTTGAACTCAGTCCCCATAATACATCTTTCATATTTTTTTATTTTTGATTACAGCTTGATTCCACATTGTGTTTTTGGTACAAGTATGGAATTTCCAGCATGTGATATAGGTAGCCCAAATTTTGCAGGCCGACCATAGATATCAGGTGTTCGTCGGCGTGGGCTCGAACCCCGGACCATGTGCATGGTCGGCGAGAGTCCTAACCACTGTGCCACCGACGCACAGCTATGTGCCACACTTATTGTGTGAAGTAGGGCTGATGATGCTACCCAATCATACAGCCTGAACTAGGTGAAGTGGGACTCGAACTCAGGTCCAAACTACGTGAAAATTGAATAATTAAATCAATGACCCCGCCACACACACACACACGCCATGTTACAAATACACAGACTCACTTCAATTCCTTCTGATCTTTTCTGCATTCGACGAAGTCGAGGATTCCAAATAGCCGATAGGATAACTTTCATTGCATGAGGTTTTTGAGCGCCAGGAGTAGCGGGTGAAATAGGTAGACTAAATGTTGTGACATTACTCAACTGAAAAAAGAAAGGCAAACATAAGCAAGGAAAGGTATGGCTTAAATGCGTAATTTTTAGTAAAGGAAAATGACCTTTATCACTAACCATTACCAGCCAAAGTACCATTAAAAGCCAAGGGGTATTGAATAACCACCTCATTCCAGTTTTTTGACTTACAAAGGGTACGTACTAACGAACTAGTAGGTGATACAGTGTAAAACTTTGAAGTCCTAAAAAACAACACGTTACCATTCAGCAACTGAGTTGAGAACTATAAGGCCATAAGACTCTCTTCAAGATGAATTTTCCAAAATTCCGATATTAGATCAAAGACAATAACATCAACTAGGTCGGATGTGAGTGCGTCGATAGGGACAGCGGTTAGGACGCTCACCGATCATGCACATGGTCCGGGGTTTGATCCCCGGATGCTGACGCACTCCTTTACCTGGCTAAGGCAAAAATAAAGCTGGTAAAAAGGAAGGGTTTGGCATGAGGCTAGCAACCTCATTTTGTAAAAATAAACACCACTGCTACAGAAACTCCAAGCTGGCTCTAGCCTGAAGCCCTATGTTCCACTTGGAACGTGGAGGAATTAGAAAGGTCGGGTGTGAGGATAACCACTGACTGATGGAGATGCACAATGAGGGTCACAGTATATCATGTATGCACAAAATTTGGAATAGAACTTATAGATCAGCAATTCAGTAGCTATGAATCTTGATAGTCCTGATTTTTTTTTGTATGAGGATGTAGACATTCCGACTACCGCAATGTCCTGAAGCTAGGACATATAAAGGGGATGCTGTTTTCATTTCACAAATGTAAATTATTCCCTTATGGTTTCTTTTATGTCAATACTTCATCTTACCAAAATGAGGTCTGAGTAATTTGAGACTGTTGAGCATTATTTATGCACCTGAAAAGTTGTACCATTCATGGTGATTCGAAGACAGTGACAACTTCTGAATAGACACAAAAACTTATTCATATTCCGTTAAATTGTTGGGGTTTTCAGGATGATGGTAAGAACCAATGAAGACTGGAGACAACTAGTGGTGATATTGTAACAACAGGAGACAAGGGCCGGCAACAGATCGTTTTATTACGGAAATCAGCACGTATTTATATATATTTCATGTACATTATTATAGCTTCTTCAAGCAGACAAACACACAGTCTTCGGATTGGTTGTTTCTGGTTTCTCGGAAAGCTACGTCATGTATCTGCGAATTTTATTTGCCCATGTTGAGTCTGCTGTGATTGGTTGTTGAATCAGCCTTGTGTCATATTTTCTCACGGCCAATATTAGCAACATAGACATTGACGAAAATTAATGTCTACCAATTGGCTAGCAGCCTGCTGTCACCACAATATGACTAAAAAATCGTCGCCATTCGATGATATTAGATGGTTGGAGGCAATCGGCCACAGGAAGCCCCACTGGGACCTACGGTTCGTGCTAGTTGGCACTCACCAGTCAGCAAGGCGTATCTGCAACCTAGAAGGAACTCATGTCCCTTCTGAGATTCGAACCCGCGTCACCCAGTGAGTACTGGAGTCAGAGACGTTACCACTGAGCTATTCGGGCTCGCGACTGACATCCTGTAGGACTGTATCATCGAATCAACGTGCACCATGATGGTGAGCTACCTAGAATGGTGGCTACATTACAACCTGACTGATAGAATTCAGTCTGCACCAATGAGAGGACTAGACACATCACACTAGTTACTAGTGTCAAATTAAAATCGTTGTCATTAGCTAGTGAAGATGCATTCGCAGGAATCTTCAAACGTTTGGCATGCGATTCAACAGTTCCTGTCAAATGTAAGATGATCCTATACCATTGGACTGGACTACATCAACTCACTTCTAGCTTAAAGATAGGCGGGAGTGAAGAGGTTGGTGGAGAGTATTGATTACTTCATTTATTTGGGAAATTGCATCAGCCAGCTCCATCGGCTGATCGCTGACTTGATCTCACCACGAATACACAGAAGCCTCGTTTGATATCTGCCTGCCAATGTGCATTATCTCTCGTTTAGTAGACATGATATCCGACTGGTCATCGACCAAAGGACGTATGGTGTGTGCTGCTTAGCAGCTCGCTTCCTCCTCCTTTATGGCTATGAGTGAGACATGGTCATTAAAGCGGCAGACATAAAAGGCCTGGTTAGTTAGCTTTCTCTGATCATAGGTGTCTGTGTTGTGTCTCTTGTATCAGGTGGTAGGTGTAATAAGGTGAGTAATAATGAGGTTAGGCGTTGTTCGAGCGTTAGGTAGATGGGAGGGGAAATTAATACACCAGCTCGTCAAGCAACTAGAATGAGATGGTTAGGACATGTGTTATGCATGCATCCCTAACCATCGCCTTCCTCGACAACAGGTAATGTTAGCTGACATATTATCAGGTTGGAAAAGAGCTACTAGTGGTCAAACCAAATTATGGGTCATCAGTCAATCAAAACCACAGCTCATGATGAAATCCTGAAACCAATCAAATCCATACAAACCATCACTTGAATACCAATGAGATGCTCACTGGCGACTGGCCCTATTCAGGTAGGTAGTTACCTGGGTTCCAGTGGGAAGTCGTGACCAGTAGTGTGCAGCAGGTCGGTTGTGAGGACAAATACTCGCCAGCGAAGACATTGGCTAGCGGTCGCGCTATGTCGTGAATTGGCAGAAGTTAGAATTCAAGGACCATTGGAATGGGTCCCAGTGGCTTAATGGTATACGAGATCGCCTTGTAACCGGAAGGTCCTGGGTTCGAATCCCGGTGGGTGCGTACTGCTGAAGAGTCCCAAACTAGGACGAAACAGCTGTCCAGTACTCCCAGGCTTTCCAATGGTTCTCTAACTAATGTCAGCTCATGATGAAGTCCTGAAACCAATCAAATCCCTACAAACCATCACTTGAAAACCACAACAGTCAGTTTAAGCCACTTGGGGAGGCAGGTGTAGACTTCCCGGTCGGAGTCCTCGGGAAGGTAAGAACCAATGAAGGCTGGAGATAATTGGTGGTACGGCTCAAAGTCGGCGTTATCAATGGCTGGTGCAGATGCGTCCACTATTTGTGATTTACAATATCCAATAAAATTCTATTGTTCTTCCATATTACTATTCTTTTCGCCTGATAACTTTGTTTAACCTCTCTGTCTTGAACCTTTCTCTATTCTCTTCTGTAGCTTTGTGTGCTACACGAAGTGGAGTGGGCCAATTCGAACTGCTGCACATCTGTACAAAGTTCCTCGTTGAAACCAGTCAGTCAGGATATATATATAACCCAGAGTCTATCACAGAGGCACAGATTCATTCTTAGGATATCTTAAGTTAACCCTAACCGTATCGTCCCTCTGTTTGTATATTAAGCAAGTTTAAACACTCGTATACGAATCGAAGTTTTCTGACAGCCAGATAGTCTCGTCAACCCTTACAAGATGTATACTGCTTATCTCCGTAAAACTAACGAAATATCACTAAGTTTTTATAATTTTACAGGATTAATCACGGGTTCATCAAATCAGTTAGAGAATCAATGGTAAACCAGCCAGGGAGTGCTGGACAGCCAATTCGTCCTAGTTTGGGACTCCTCAACAATACGCACTCACCGCAGTTCGAACCTAGGACCTTCCGGTTACGAGGTGAGCTCGTAGACTATTCCAGCCACTGAGATCCGACCCAATGGTTCACGAATTCCAACTTCTGCTAATTGGTGATGTATATATATTTAGCGCAATCTCCAGCGAATGTCACAGACGCGAGTAATTACTCTCTTTCCTGACTTGGTGAATCTTGCTGCTTACGACTTCTTGCCACAATTTTAATTAAAACAACGTCAATTTTAAAAGCAACCAACCTTCAGCCATCTGCCACTACATCAATACTGACTGACTGAGTTTCAACGTGGAACTTTTCCACAGAAGTACACCAGTTCAACTTGCCACACTCGATGCAGCACACAAAAGTAGACAAAATAGTGGAAGAAGAAATTCAGAACAACAGTAGTGGGCAGAAATGTGCGGCAGGAAGAATAGTAACATGGTGAAACGTTAAAGTTCACCAGATCTGTGAGACTGTAAAGATTGAATACATCTCTACCACTGAGAACGTTTTTAACCACCCCATCACTAGTCCCAATCTTTCAGATGATGGTGTCTCGAGGACTCACATCGCTAGTCAAAGATTTCATGCATTGATGTTAGATTTTGGTTTGACCACTCTCCAGCCCTATTCCAATCTAATCCTATATCAGCTAGTATTGTTCGCCAGGGAATACGGTAGCTCGGTATGCGAAACACGTGTCGTAACCATCTTAACTGATGTAGCTTCAAAACCTTATCGATTCCCTCAATATTACTCACCAGATTACATCTCGTTAACATAAGAGGCCGAACGCAAACATTTGTAGGTTAAAGGCAATTATCCTCTTCAAGTAATCCACTTACAAGTAACTATGAAAAATCAATAAATAAATCAATAAATAAAAACTCTCACTTCACGTAAGTATACTGGTCGTTGAGGTTCAATTGGAGGTGGTGATACTTGTGAATAATTAGCAAAAGATACCTGGAATAGAAATAAAATTTCATTGACCTTTGAGAGAGAGAGAGAAAAAACGAATTTTACAAGCCAATAGAAACATAATTTTTCCAAAACATCAAGTTAGACAAACATATCTGTACCATGAATATTGTTTGGCGAAGTCAGTTTCAACGTCTAAGAGAAAAACATACGTTTATTTACAACAACAACAATAGAAGATTTCAATATAGAAAATATCTCCATTTAGACATTTAGAAAAGAGAAAGATTGAGCAGCGAAGAAATATTTACTTTTCAATTAGATCCTCATCTCTGGCTCTACTCTAATATACACCCATAGCATTTTAATTACAATATACAACAATTTACCAATCAAGTGGCACTGATATGTTTGTTAACAATAATTAGTCAGTGTCAACATGTCACTGGGGTGGTAATTAACGAAGAAAAATTAATATATATATAATTAAAAGGTGTAAATGGTTACAACAAGTGGATTGCATAATGCATAATGTTAGAAAAATGAAGAGCAATTAAGGAATAAGCGTGTGCACAGGTTGATTACGTAAGAGATTGTTAAAGAAAATAAAACACTTTGGCCAATGATAATTTGTAACTAAAGTTGAAGTGATCATAAGAATAAAATAATTTTTACAAGGATAACACGTAATTAAAGATGAAGTAGTCAGAAAAATAAAATAATTTGGACAATTATAGTTTTTAAAAAAGAAAAATATTTTAGGGGGAGGGGGATGAAGTAGTCCGGTTTATACAGTCATGTAACGATGATGGCCAAGGTAAGGAAAGTGGCTGTACAAATTTCTTCTGGACACACAAGTTTGGCTTCTTCAGGTGGATTCCTATTGCTTCAGTTGTATGTAGAAGACGAACTCGTAAAGCAAAATTAAGATTAGTAGGAATGCGATAAATAATTTTAAATGCAGTATTAACATCAACCTTATGCTCACTATCTACAAGGTGGGTTAAAATAGAGCTACGAATAGATTTTGTTTGTCCCTTGCTTAACCATGCCGGATGATGTTCGGAAATACGATGATGAACCTGCCTAATTGTTCGCCCGATGTAGCTGGCTCCGCAGCTGCAGTCAAACTGGTAGATACACATAGAAGAGGCGAATTTAGGTAGTTTATCCTTATTACTCGAACGTAGGATAGGTGTGGTCGTGAAGAGACAGTGTACCTCTGCTGCATAATAAGCTCTTTTAACTGCATTCCTCAGTCGCTGCGTTATTATTTCGCTGATGTTGTCGCCAAGGAACTGAAGTTTTATGAACAGTGGATGTACAATGAACGTTCATTTCTTATTCAATAAGGAATATTACAGACAAATTGATGGTGTAGCTATGGGTTTCCCATTAGGCCCAATCCTAGCTGATTTTTTCCTCGCTAAGTTAGAGAATGGACCACTGAAAGGAGCGATTAGTGACTTGGATTTCTACTGTCGATATATGGATGATACATTTCTGGTCATAAAAAACGAGGACGACGCAATGAATATCCTTGACAAATTTAATGATGCCCATTCAGCAATAAACTTTACTATAGAGAAAGAAAGTAAGTATATCTACAGAAACTATTTTAACATACTTGCACACAGAGTTCATTTTAAACAAAAATTAATCAGTCAATATATGCATAGAATAATGATATATGTATAATAATAATAATAATATTAAACACTATTCCGAACAATAACGATCATAAACAGTAGAAACTTTCAGCATCACGTAATCAGATGAAAGAGAGAGGTGAAAATATCCAGTTACACCAGAATGGGCAAAGAAAGACTGATAACTGCTTCTTCCTGAACGCATAAATCATTTGATATAACCTCCCTATCCACAATGATTCCAATCAACGAAACTATTGAGATCATTTGTCAGCAGTCCGATCGTCTCCCACTCCCAGAGTCGGAATTCAAATGCCTACTGCTTATGTGTACCATGGATGTGCAATTCCAATTTGACAACACTTTTTACCGCCAAATAGATGGTGTAGCTATAGGCAGTCCTTGTTAACCCTGTTTTAGCAGATATCTTCATGTCAAACCTTGAAAGAACAAAGTTGAAGCATGCAATCGACGAAACATCTTCCTACTGTCGTTATGTTGATGACACATTTATAGTGTGCAAAAAGTCATGAAAGTCATGCTTCACACTTACTCAAATTATTCAATGATGCACACGCCAATATTGAGTTCACTATGGGACATGAAAGTGACGGAAAGTTTCAATTCCTCAACATTGCCATGGAACGCCTAGAAGACGGTAGTCTTCAAAAGTCAATTTATCGAAAGCCTACTTGGAAAGGACAATACTTGCATTTTAATAGCTACAACAATTCAAATCAACTGTCCTCGACTGTTGCCACAAATTTATAAATGGCAATCCAAACGGAAGATCCGTACTAACGAAGAAACACTACAAAGAGCTGAAAGAATTGATGAACAATGAAGAGATTATGCTGATACGTCCTGATAAAGGTGGAGGAATCGTAATCATGAACCGTAAGGATTATATCAGTAAAATGTTGACCATTCTATCTGATGAATCTAAATTCACCAAACCGGCCAACGAGAAAAACATGACGGAGCAGATTGAACAAAAACTAACAGACATCCTCCGTAAACTAAAGAACGAATCATTCATTACCAACGAAACGTTTGAATCCCTGAGACCATCTGGTTCAAATATACCAAGACTCTACGGACTTCCTAAAGTACACAAGATGGGCACTCCACTTCGACCGATCCTCGACATGACTAATTCACCTTACCACCGCACTGCCCAATGGCTAGCAGACTTACTTGAACCAATCAGAAAACAAGTCTCCCGTCACTCAGTGCGAGATTCATTTGAATTCGTCAACTGCGTCGAAAACGTCAATGTTTCTAATCAAACGATGATCTCACTAGATGCTGTCTCATTGTTTACAAATGTTCCACTAACTGAAACAATTTGTCACATATGCGAGCTCATCCACTCAGAAGGAGTAAACATCGGCATACCCACCGACTACCTAAAAGAACTTCTGCTGAGATGCACCCTAAACGTCCAGTTCTCCTTTAACAATGAAATATATCGTCAAAAGGATGGTATAGCTATGGGCTCACCACTAGGCCCTCTGCTTGCGGATTTTTTTATGTCGAAACTCGAAAACACTTGCCTAAAGAATATGATTGACAACTTTGAACTCTACAAGAGATACGTCGACGACACCTTCATCATCTGCAACAACGAAGAGAATTTAGAAGATATCCTGAAGTTCTTCAACAACTGCCACCCTGCGATTCAGTTCACACTAGAGAAAGAGTCTAACTCAAAGATATCTTTTCTTGACGTTCAACTAACGAGACGCCAACAAGACGGAACATTAAAAAGATCCATCTACAGAAAGCCAACGTGGAACGGACAGCTCACTAACTTCCACAGTTGGGTGCCTCTATATACTAAACGAAACTTAATCCGTTCACTAAGCCACAGAATACGTAGAATTTGCAGCCTGGATGCCATAGAAGAAATGAACACTCTTAAGAAAATCCTCCTTGAAAATGGCTATCCAGAAAGATTTATCACAAAATCAATGAAACCCAGACCAGAGAAGCCGCCAACACCCAGTGCTCCAAAAAGACTTCTCTACATGAACCTACAGTTCAATGGAGACCAATCTACAGAAATACTGAGAAATCGGCTCTCCCGCTCATTGAAGAAAACCTTCCCTGCAGCTGAATTACGACTGACGTTCTCCACGAGACCAATGATTCGTATGAACGTGAAGGATAAGCTACCGCTGTTGGCCTCATCTATGTGCATCTACCAATTCACCTGCTCGTGTGGAGCCAGGTATATCGGCCGTACTCAGCGTTCGCTATCCAAACGCGTCAACGAACATTTACCTTCATGGTTTTATAAAGGAGAAAACCGATGCCCTCGCAGCTCGATCCTTGAACATTTGATCGACTCTGGACACCAAGTCAAACCAGAAATAAACTTCAAAGTTATCTACAGAATACAAGGCAATCTTGCTAAAAGTGTACGGATCAAACTTCTCCACATCGCAGAAGCAATGGCAATTCATCTGCTAAATCCTGAACTCTGCATACAAAAGAAATTCGTTCATTCATTAAATCTACAATGGACGTAATCTTTCTTAATTTCAGTCTTACTAATTGTATTATTTTGTCTTTTGCATTTTATTATTTCACATCTTCATTTATATTATTCTCTACCCCACCCTTTTGTAATCTCTACCCTCATTAACAATGTTGCTAACTTGACCCACGTCCAATTTCTAGTCAACTATGTTACGTCATCCGATTAACTTACTTATTTTCAACTGTATTATTCTCTAACCCCACCCTTATTTAATTTTAACCACCACTCATTAACACTGTTGCCAACCTGACCTACTCTGAATTCTACTCAACTGTATTACGTCATCCAATTCACTTAATCAATTCTATTTTATTTTCTATCTTAACGTTTGTCTCCAAGCCAAATAATACTTACATTACATAATTATCTAAACTTTATAAATCTAATGTACACACACACAAACAAAATTGTATATATATGCGATTGTACAGCTCAGTGAATGAATTCGCCGAAAAGAGTCTCTTCGCTGAACGCCTTCTTTTCTTTTATATGACTGAATGGGGATTTTCAAGTTACTTTGTCCAAATAGCTTTAAATGTGGTCTAGTCAAGACTCTGTACTATAGAGCGAGGAGAATATGCTCTATAGAGAAATTAGAGGAAGAATTTGAGTCCCTTGAAAAGATATTGAAGAGCAATGGGTACCCTCAAAGGTTCATCAACAAGTATGGAAGATCTGAAGTCACAAATGTAAAACGAATCACAGTGGGAAAAAGCCAATCTACTTTCAGCTTGATTATTAAGGTGAAAACATTGCAGTGATGATCAACAGAAGGCTGAGTACATCACTATCCAGAGCCTATCCTGCAGCTAAGCTCGTTCCCTGCTACCGAACAACTTGTTCTTCTTTGGTGCAATCAAAAATCGATAGATATCCTTCTCATGTTAACAACTCCACCTGTATATACAAATTCACATGTATCTGTGGGAGCAATTACATTGGGAGGACAGAACGAAGAAGGGCATATCTACGATTTTCTGAACATGTACCAAAAACCTTACGTCTACAGGGAACAAATGCTTTAAACAGTGCCAACACCAGGCATCTCCTCGACACGGGTCCAAAAGAAGCTAGTTCAGACATTGTCCTTACCCGCTTGGCCATCTAGGTTTGAATGAGCCCCAACGTTTTGTGGAAATTTCCTAATTTTAGTTGATATTCTATTTGGTACTATATATTTATTACTATTATAATTTAAGCATATTTAGTGAACTTTAATTGCATTGATCATACTTTACAAATCGATATTATTTAGAAAACACGCCGATATTGTTATTAACTACCAATCTTGAATATTTTGTTTACATAAGCATATGGATATATAACTGTAGAGTCAGAAGAGGAGGAATTTATCGAAAAGAAGATTTTTTGCTGGATTACTTCTAAATTTATCAACAAAAACAAAAACTATGGTTATTATGGAGAATTATGAACGCTCACTTCGTCATCTTGAGGTGAGCACTGAAGATGTTGTCAAGAAAGATAATGAGTGTCATGACAGATTAAAACATACATCACTAGTCAGACGTTTACTGCGTAAACTGTGCATTAAACAGGCAGACCAAATGTTGTATCACTAAATTTTTATTGGCACGTCAATGACCAATCAGAATGAAGCTTTTTGTTCAATGTTAGATGTCTGGAGCAAATCGACAGGAATCTCCAGATCTGCATTTCGTACTTATTAGCTCTCGTCAACAAGGTATTTTACACCTTGACTGAAAGAATTCAGTCTGCACCACTACACCAAGGACTAGACACATGATGTCGATTACACCTCACTGAACAATAAATATATCTAGTACAGTCGTCAATCGTGAGTCAGTCCGAATAGCTCAATGGTAACGTTTCTGGCTGCAGCACTAAGCGATTATTATTATTGCTCCCTTGGATTCCTAGTGAAACATAGGGCTTTAACTGCTCGTCTCCACTTGCTTCTGTCTTCCTTCTGCTGTACTTTTCGCCTGCATCCATGTTAGTCCACACTGTTTCAACTCCTCTTCACACGATCTCCTTCATGTCACCCTTGCACTGACGTCCCACTTGCCGCATGCTTTCCTTTCGACCTGGTTCAACTCGAGAAATGGCCTGACGCGCGCGCGCGATGTCACCCAGCGGCCTCCTCAGGAAGTGAGTGTCCAATCCATCTCCACTTTCTCCTGCATATTTGTTGATTGGCGATTGGTTCTTGCTTTGTTTGTTCCCATAATTCCTTGTTGGTGATTCTTTCCGGCCATCTGATCTTCAGTATAGAGCGAAGACAGTTGTTAATAAAGGTCTGCAACAGGCTGTTGGAAATATTCTTTGGCCCGCCAAGTTTCTGATCCGTATAGAAGAACTGACTGACTTGACGTTGTTTGTATTGAAAATCCGAGCGAATTTTTTTGTTGATGCTGGCTGAGTGACGAAGATTTCCAGATTGGTTGTTTCAGGTTGATGATGTTGATGTGTTTCTCGCTCGCCTTCCCGATTCTCGCTCGATTTGACATCCTCGTCCGTTCCGACTTCCTGTAGTTGAGACAATGCTCCCTAGATCAGTGAGTGAATGAAGTAACCTCTTTCAAATCCCTCCCGTTGATGATGATTGACGTTGGATGTTGTTGCTGTTCTTGTTGTTGGTTGGTTATTTTCATAACCTCCGTCTTGTCTATGTTTACCTGGAGTCCTGTCTTTGCTGCTTCTTCGACCGAACAGTTTGTCGGTTTTCGCTTGTAAGTCTTCGATTTTGTGTGACACCAAACATAAATCATCCACGCGCGAAATACATGTCTTCTAGGTTCTTTACGTCGGTCCAGGATATCCCTGTCTTCTCGTTTCCCACTGTCTGACGCATAATCCATTCCACCACAATTAAGAATATCATTGGTGATAATAAGCACCCTTGTCTAGCGCAAAGCGATACGAGTTCGAATCTCAGAGGGGACATAAGTTCCTTCAATGGTTGCAGAAACGCCCAGCTAACTGACTGGTGAGTACCTGCAAGTAGAAAACTTGAGGTCTAAGGACTCCTGCCAATCACCTCCAACTATCTAGCATAAATTCAGAGTGCACCATGAGATGGTGAGCCGACTAGAATACTGACCACATGTCGTACACTTGACTGGTCGAATTCACTATGCACATACACACACAACACCAAGGACTAAACGCATAACCTTCCTAGTGACTTGTCAACATATACAGTTTTTATTCATTAAAGTCGCAAGTGACTCGTCGTGCAAAATAACTCCCTGACTTCTGAGTGGAGCTTGGGTTATCAAGCCTTGCAGTTTCATTGGCGGTTTTTGCTTTTTATGGGGGGGGGGGTGAAGGTTGCTAACCTCACTTCCAACCTTTCTCATTTTCATGACCTACTCACTTACTACAGGCTAGGCGGGGTCTAGGCTGAATCGAGCAAGAATCGAAACAGGATCTCCAGAATCACTGACAAAAATCCTACCCCCGAACCAACAACATCACATATCTGGAATAAGTCTTGACTTCTGGGGTGAGAATAATATTCGACCAATCAGTCATATACATATCGTGTATTGAACTAATGTGTGAAGAAAATTACACGAAGAGTCTATCTAGTTCACTAACAATCAGTCAGAAGGAATTCCAAAAACAAGCATATTATCCAATTACCTCAGAAAACTCCAGCTCAAAGGACAGAACAATACCAGTAATAAACACTTACACCTATGAATATAAATACACCTTTATGAGGAATATCAAATGTCGGTTTACTGGGTATTGACTAGTTACAGGTTGGAACACGAACTGGCATCTGTTAGAGGACCATCAGAAAACCAGGAAATACTAAACAACTGTTTCATCTTGGTTCAGGACTGTTCAACAGTACAAGCCGAGCTTGTAGACCATTCATTCAACCACTGGGACCCGATGGAATAGTACACGAATTCAGACCTCTGACAATTAGCGATATGTATAGCGCAAACACAAACAGAGAATGGAGTTAATCGGTCATTATATCAGGTTCCAGTGACTGAATGGCCTACAAGCGTACGTTGTGACCAGAAAATCTTGGGTTCGAACCCCAACGATTGCTTGCTGCTGAAGAGTCCTAAACTATGATAATAGGGACAGCTATCTAGTATTCTTGGTTTTCTAATGATTCTCTGGTAAAATATCAATCAATCACAGATCAAAATTCTCGATCGAGAACTTCAAAAATAGTGTGGAAAACAAAACAATTTAAACAAATATATTCATAAGCATACTTGACGTTTCGTCATCATTTTCAATGGTTCAGCATTTGAACTTGACGCAAACTAGAGAACATGAATAAAAACAAGGAAGATCAAAGGGGCGAAATCAGAATTTCGATACAAATAAAAAACAAAAACCTGAGAGTACTGGACAACCAGCTGTTTTGTCCTAGTTTTGGACTCTTCATCTGTACACACACACACCCTAGTGGAGTTCGAACCCAGGAACCTTCCGGTTACGAGGAGAGCTCGTAAACCATTGGGTGTACTGATTAAGCGTATCAAACTAGGACAATAGAAACAGGTGTCCAGTACTCCCTGACTGGTTTCCCGATAATTCTCAATTCTCTAACCGATGTCAAGCTTATGATGAAATCCTTTAACCAATCAAATCAAACCCCTTGGGAAACCAACACCTGAATATTATAAACAAAACAGCTGATAAGGCGTCCGGAAGAATTAAACATAGAATAACATTACTTATCCACCCACTCCCCAAACTATTCACAATTTGACGAATTTATAAGCTCATTGAGACAATAAAAAAGTTGACAAGTTCGCCTTTTATATTACCTCCAACTGTATATACTATTTTGCATCCATGTGCCAAAGTAGGATTTAGTTAGTTTAAGCCATGTAGGGAGGTGGAGACTGGCTGGCTGGGTGACTGATTGAGGTCCTTGGGATGATAAGAACCAAGGGAGGTTGGAGACAATTGGTAGTGATATGGCTCAAACTCATTGTAGTCAGTGGCTGGCGCAGATGGATTCCCTTCTTGTGACTTATAATATCCAATATCTCTTTTTACTCTCTGTTCTCTTGATTTGTGTGCTACATGGAGTGGAGTGTATGTGTGTGTGTGGCAACTCAAACTGTTGCACAACTGGGCAAAGTTCTAGGTTGAAACCAAACTCAATCAGAGAAGGATTTATGATTGCATGTCTAAGCATATTCCAAGGAACTTGCCTTTGAAAGGTGTGAATGATCATAGTAGGAGTGTGGTCAGAGATGGCTTCTAGCCAAATTGGTAGGCAGTAATTTACGTCAATGTTTATGTCCCCAATATTGGTCGTGAGAAAAATGAGAACAAAGATTTTTGCGCAGGCGGATACAGTTAACATATAGATGATCTGACATTCAAGAAACAGCTACAAAGAGAGATGAAAGATTAACTTTCAGAAGACCAATCAGAAGACTGTTTTTTTCAGCTAACAATAACCTATAATATGTACACGAAAATATATAAATACGTGTTGATTTCCTTAATAAACGATCTGTTGACTTGCCCTTGTCTTCTGTTGTTACAGTAGTATTGATGCAATAGTTCACGTATTTGTTAGATAGCGATCGTGAAATCAATGCACTGAAATCATTTATGATGATGATAATAAAAGTTGTGAAGGCAGCTCTAGTTCGTTACACGTATCTCACTGAAGCAATTGCGATGAAATGATTCCAAACCGAATTTATAAATCTGAAAGGAAGCCACTGTAAATCTTACCTTCTCACTATTTAATTGCTTTAAAGTGTGAGAATATAATTACTCAATGCAATATTGACGGCCTGTTTAAATCTTGGGCTAGCAAAAACTTCCGTCTCTCTCTCTCTCTCCCTATTGCACATATATTTGCCCCCGTTCGGTTTGTTTTAATCGATTAAGATGTCACCTCTACTGATGGTATCATCTACACTTGTGTGTATTGAAAATATTTACAAACTTCTCTTTTCAATAGTTGGATTGTAAGGATCAGATTTGTTTTAACTAGTTTGACTGAGGATTGATATCAGTAAATATTGAAAACCAGCCAGCATGGAGTACTTACTGGACAGCCAGCTGTTTCATCCAACTAGTTTGGGAGTCATCGGCAGTACGCATCCACCACACAGGGGTTTGAACCCAGGACCTTCCGGATACAAGCAGACAAGCTCGTATAACATTCAACCACTGGACCCCCAGCTCATAAATTCTAACTTCTACCAATTCGTGATTTAGCGAGACTGGCACCAACCAACCAATGTCATCGACGAGACATCTATTTTCTCACACATGACACCTGAATGGACATCACTGGTTACGATTTCTCACTAGAACCCACTCCAGGAAACTCCGTCGTCCTGTAGCAAGTCGTTGTCAGAGAGCATCAGATTACTTTTCAAGAGTTGGTTTGTAAGGATTAGATTTGTTTCTACGAGTTTGACCACCACGGATTGATATCAATTAGAGAACCAATGAAAACTAGCAGTGAGTACTGGGCATCTGTTTCTCCAGTCCTAGTTTAGGATTCATCGGCGGTACGCAACCACTGGAGTTCGAACACACGATTTCTGTTTCGCAAGGTCCAATTAAACTTGGGAAAATGCCTAATTGTGGGCATAGCAACATGTTCCAATACAACATGAGATAACTGTTCTCCAGTTATGTATGTCCTTAGGTGTCAAAAAGTACTTCTGAACATCTTACAAGGTTGGGTTGCACAGCTATATAATGATAATAATAATTTTGCTTTATTCCAAAACAGTATTTGCTAATACAGAATGGAATTCTCAGCATTTCACTACAGTATTGCATCCAGTTAATACTTACATTAATAATAAATAAAATTCTACATAGATTACGGAAATCTCAGTTCAATATGACAACAACATATTAGCATGTCAGTAGCAAAGCCAAAAGTGAACACAGTGTTTGAAGGTGTTAGATAAGTAGATGCGAGCATATTTACTGGCGTAAGCGGAAGAAAGAAACAAAGCTTCACATAACAGAAAAAAGAGAGAGAGAAAAGAAAAAGAAAGAAACAAAGAGAGAACGTTGTACCTATAAATGATATGAGGAGTTGGAAAGACGAGATCCAGTTGTTCTACTGACTGTTTAAGAAGTCATACGTTTCACGCCTAATGCTTTCTTTATCGCACAGAACACGAACTAAAGAGGGTATGGTTGAGTTTTTGTATTTACTAGTAGGAGCATATAGTTTTCTATATAGGCTTCTGGCTTTGTCTGCCTGATGAAATACAAGCGGAGAGTTGTGAATGAAGAGAGTGATGTGAGGAGTTACATAAAATGGATTTAGCCCATTTTTCACATGAGTCCAAGTGCCTGTTGACCAGAATATTAACAAGCTGGTTAAGTGGCACGTTGCTTAACCCTGCTGACAATGTTTAACATCCTGAGTAATAAGGAAGGTATAGTCCTTCTTCAGTAGCCCAGGAAAAACCAAGGGGGAACGATACAGAATAATAGGCAGAAGTCGGGAATTAACAAATTGTAGGAGTAAGGGTTGAGTTTGATTATTCCAGAATGTCTTAACTTCTTGATGTAGAAGATGGTAAGACGGAATATTTTCTTAGAAATCATCAAGATATGAGACGAATAGGAATATAGATAGGCAGATGGAATGACGCCATGATATTTAATTTCCGACTTGGTTTCTATTTCAGTGCCATCTATGTTGCACACCTCGTGAGTGCTAACCAGTTTGTTTAGGTCAATCAGATTTATGCCTAGAGGTGAAATTGATTGACTATTTGACATTTAGAAGGGATTTAAGGTTAGTAGATCATTTTCTTTGGAACACTGGCTGATTTCTGATAAAAAGCCGTTTAGTTTAGAGCAGTCACTTTGACATTTGACAGGCAAAGAAAGATACAGTCAGGTCGTCAGCATATTTAACAAAATTAATGTCATTTGAAGATAATAGGTCATGTAGGAAGAATGAAAAGAGAAGTGGGGAGAGTACAGCACCTTGGGGGATACCAGCTTCAGTGAGCACAGCAGATGAGGATTTACCTTTGTATACAGTGTACTGCATTCCGTTAGAGAAGTAGGATAGATTTCTTGAGGGAAGGAGACAAAGCAGCTATAGCATCAAAATGGAATGGTGTGTGTTTCAGTCATAGAGGCCATAATAAGGTGAGCAACATTGAGGTTAGTCGTAGAGTTCTAGGTAAGGAGGGGAAATCAATCGACGAAGTCGGGAAGTTACAAAATCTGAGATGGTTAGGACATGTGTTACGTATGCCAAGCCATCGCCTCCCTCGACGAGCAATGTTAGCGGATATAGGGTCAGGCTGGAAAAAAGCTAGCGGCGGTCAAACAAAAACATGGCTTCACCAGTCAATGAAATCCACAACAGTTAGTCTATGCCACGTAGGAAGGTGTAGACTTCCTGACTGGTTGGGGTCCTCGGGACGGTAAAAACCAATGGGTGGAAAGAATCGGTGATATGCCTCGAAACCGTTCTCAATGGCGCAGATGCATCCACTCCTTGTGACTTATGATTTCCAATGAAACTATATTGTTCTTCGTTATCACTATACCTTTTGTCTTATATTCCTGTTTACTGTCTCTAATATGCATTTCTTCTACCTTCTTCTCTTGGTTTGTTTGCTACAAGAAGTGGAGTGTGACGACTTGAACTGACGCACATTTGTGCAAAGTTCTATGTCGAAAACAGACAGACAGACATAGAGGCCATTGTGTCACAGGAAGGATATACTGCTGTCAATTAATTAATATTCTTTTTTACTTGTAGATATTATACGAAGAGAGGAAACATCATACAATAAACTCCTCTGAGAATTCTGTACATTTTATAAATACTGTCTAGAATAAAGGTTTTTTTAAAAAATTAAAAATTGCGTAGAGTGGACTGGAACTAGTGGAAAGACGACAAAGTGTTTTTAAACAATATAATAGAGGTATTTTGTATTTCCCAATGAATGAAAAAACAAAACGAGATTGTTTTTACTGACGTTTCGCTATTTAATGCTAATAGCTTTCTCAAAGTATCGTTCTCAAGTATCGTTGCATCGTTCTCTGGGTTCCTAACCAACAAACATCTAAGCACGCTCACCACGAATGCGACGAGCCAACTGGATGTCCTTTGGCATGATGGTAACACGTTTGGCGTGGATGGCACACAAGTTGGTGTCTTCGAAGAGACCAACCAAGTAGGCTTCACTGGCTTCTTGCAGAGCAGAAACTGCTGAGCTCTGGAAACGCAAGTCAGTCTTGAAGTCCTGAGCAATTTCATGGACGAGACATTGGAAGGGCAATTTGCGAA